CAGCGTTTGAGCACAGGCCGTTTGCCTCTCTGCGCCTATCGGTTGTAGCTGTATAGCTTATGACATATGTTTTTTCATGATATCAGCCGGTTGTTGGCTAGATGCATGTGTTTTTTCATGATATCAGCCGGTTGTTGGCTGGATGCATAGGACGAACACCCGCAACCCCGGACCCCTAAACAAAAACCTCACCCAAACCATATGATCATCTAGATTAATCTAGATTATACACCTGACACCCCGGACCCCTAAACAAAAAGCTCACCCAAACCATATGATCATCCAGAATATGTACCTATCCGTCCATGGAGCGCGTCTGTGGATCTCTTTCTGATGCGAGCTGCACTGTCTGCACGCCGAAAGCTCTTGCTGAAGCAGCAAGGACTCACCCCCCAGCTTTGCCTGCATCTGATTGATGTGTTAGTATAGGATGCTATGCTGCAGCTGGCTTGGAAGTTGCACTCTGCTGTTTTGTCGGGACCGAGATTTCAGCAGCTTTTTTGGCTGGACACGGCGGCTTGCTTAAGAGCAGGCCAAGATGCCTAGCAGTAAGAAGCTTAAGGCAGCTGATGGTGAATGTGAAGAGCAGCCTGCAGACCTTAAGCCTGAAGATGATGCTGAAGACGACGAACAGCTTCTCAACTGATCTGATGTTGCAGCATGTTACTAGCTATTTAACTCTTTCGATCCTGCCGCTTGCTTCGAGGCTGCTGTTGCTGAAAGACATTCTAGACGAGTGGGTCCGCAAGAAGCCGGAGGGTTCTCCGGTGTCTTTGGCGGCTGCCATGCGAGCCAGCGAGGCAACTGGATCTCTAGTGTGCACTATGGTCGTATACATAAGATCTGCAATGCAACATGGACGTATGCCTAGGATATATTAGCACAATGCGAATCTAAGGTTCACGATTGCTTGGAGGAGTTCGAGTTCATGTGCGATGATGCCATAGAAAAGGCTTCCGAGGTGCTCGGGCCACTATGTGCGCAATTTGGTCTGCGACCGCCATTGCCATCGAAATTTAAAGCGCCTCGCTCATATATATTTTGATACATGCACATACACATCTAGAGGCACATCGTGTCATGACATGTGTATATCATGATGTGTGCCCATGGACTCTGTGATGAGGCTGCGTTTTTGTGGCTGAATCACGAGCACGGCTTCTTTGGATCGGCGGTGAAGAAGCAGGAGCTCCAGGTCGCTTGCTTTCTTTTGTATTTTAATATATATATATATATATTTATTTATATATATATTTATGGGATCATGATCATACTGTCGCTTCGAAAGGCTTGGGCCATGGCCAATGCCAACACTCTCCGAGCTCGTTTGGTCTACACGGTTCGGCTTTTCAGAAAAACGCCGGGTCGATCGAAGTGCTTGGTCTGCATTATATAATTATAGATGTATGATCGTGTCCATGTTGTCAGTGCAGCGCAGCATTTATGAGGCGACCCAAGATCCAGCAGCTTAAGGATATCCTTCGAATGTGGGAGGCCGAGCAGAACGCCGAAGGCGAGATTCACGGGGAATCGAATGAAGACGAGCAGGAGCGGGATACGGATGCGACTGGCAAGGAAGGGGAGGGCGAGCAGGAACAGGAAATGGATGAAACTGCTGGCCAGGAGGGGGATGGCGAGCAGGAGAAGGAAATGGATGAAACTGCTGGCCAGGAGGGGGATGGCGAGCAGGAAGAGGAAATGGATGAAACTGCTGGCCAGGAAGGGGGGGACAAGCAAGATGGCCAGGAGGAGGAGGGCGTGGAAGCCCAGGACGAAGAGCATGGCCAGGCGCGATATATCTGTTTCGGCGATTGTTTGGTATATCCGGTATGGTGACCTGGAGCAGGTACTCCATTTTCGTTTCATTTTCTTTGTATTATATTTCATGTTTTTCTCTCTCTCGACTCTCGCTCGCTCTCGCTCTCGCTCTCTCGAGCTCGCTCTGCTATTTTTGCATAGTAACTCTATATCTCTATATATATATATATATGCTAGCTGATGTGCAGGATGATCCGAAGCCCGTGAAGAAGGGCACCGCTGCACGCACCAGTGACAAGGACAGGATCTTCGATAGATATAATAAGTTATATATAGACTGCATGTGCAAATTAAGGATCACGAGCCGCTCGTTCGGTTTCCACCTTCGTGGGATAGCAAAGCACGAGAGCTATTATTGGAGAAATGTGCAGAACACGAGCTACCGACTTTGCAGTCCAAACTGCATCTTGAATTGAGTTATATGCACGTGTACATGATAGTGAGTGTCTTCTGTGCAAATTGCATTGCATATCCCAGGGAATCACGATGTACATGTGCCGAGAAAATAAGGCGACTTGCGAAAAACCCTTGGAAGGCAGCTCCGGATGCTGTCCAAGAGCGTGGTCGCGGGCGCGGCCGTGGAGGGCGAGGAGGGCCGAAAGGCCCAGGCAGCCGAGGTGGCCGAGGTCGAGGGAGTTCGCGAGGACGAGGTCAAACCCCAGCCGGATCCGAGCCCAAGGAGCCAGCCTCAAAGAAAGCCAGAACTACCAAGCCAGAGGCATCCCAAAAGAAAGGTGGGGTTTCTGAACCATATCATGTCGTGTGTGTGTGTGTGCGCGGGTGTGTGTGTGTGTGTGTCTGTGTGTGCGTGTATAAACGCTTCGCAGGCACGAACCCCTACCTGGACATCACCCTTGAAGAGCGAGCGAGATTGTCAAAGTTACTGCCAAAGTTGCCACGCTACCGCGAATCTCAACCGCAATTTCGAGATTGAACCAGTCGGCCCCGCCCGTGTAGATAAAATTTTGAAAGTATTTATAACGTATGCCCCGCCCAGGTGATGCCTTATTGGAGCAGAGGCGAGGTCGGCGTTGTTCGGCAGGCGCTGGAGGACCAAACCCGGAGTCAGGCCATTCCGTGAGTGCAGACACATTATATAGCATGATTCGGTGTGCACATGGATGGCTAGATATTGTGTGTGTGTGTGCACGTGTGTGCGTGTGCGCTCATGTATGGAAATCGAGTTCGAATTCTTCAAGGTGCTCTCCATTGCCACGGCCAATGTTCGCGAGAATCTTAAATGGGAAGAGCTATTGGAACCGTGCATCACAGCGGTTACTGATCTGCAATCTATTTCCTTATACTCTCTCTCTCTCTCTCTCTCTCTCTCAGTCTCTCTCCCTCTCCCTAGCTTGCTTTTATATGTGCATCGTGATTTGCAATGCATGTAAAAAATCTAAGTGCCGAGCTCTTGACAGTGGCGCTGATTTTGACACCGTCAACAGCGAGTTTGAGATTGCAAAGGTCAAATTGACTGAGTTGTCGAAGTCTCGTGAGTGATGCTCCGGCCGTTGGCACCGCGAGTTTTGATTTAAAGGGGTCATGACACTGCAGTGCGTCGGGGTGATCCCTAGGCCTATGCTGCGACACTACATATAGCTGATAGATAGATAGCGAGAGCGAGAGGGAGCACGCCCCGCACCCAGGTGACTGAGCACCCGGCATAGCCTTAGGGCCCTTTAAGGCTTTCGCCTGGAGCTTGAAGCTGGCTTGTACATGTGGCCATGGGGAAATATGTGTGGGTTTGCAATATATATATATATTATAGAATTAGCTATCGGGTTGGGGTTTAGGATTGGGTTTAAAAACTTCGGGTTGCTGCATGCAGTGTGTGATGTGCTTATGTGGACATGTGTACATTCTGACCGGACCTCTTCCAGCTGATCCTGCTGTGTGTGTTTAGGGCCCGGGATTGGGTCGGAAGCTGACATGGCTCGCCCCCTGGATCTAACCGAGCTCCAGTTCAAGCTGCTGTGCCACCTGCATGTTCCTTGTATATTGTCGCTAGACAGCACCTATACCTGATGATCTGCTGTCCAATATTAATAATCTGCAAGCAGCAGCCTGCACTCGAGGTTGCATGCCCTGGACTACATCGCAGCCACCTCACACCGTGGATTCCGCAGAGAACCTTGGCGATTGCATGCACACTTGTACCGGCAAGCTACAGCAGGGTCTAAATGTTCTATAGCACTGCTGAGGACATCGATGTGTTGGATATGTTTGCTGGTTGGTGTGGTGTTTTCTGGGCAGCTCGTGCGGCCCTTATTTTGCGATTAGTCTGCAGGAAGCATAATAAGTACATGCACAAGTACTAGTACCCAGGCATGCAAGGACTCCGGCCTGCCTACTTCGAGAAGAAGAAGCACAGCTATCAGGTTCTTAGCACCCTGCAGCTCTGCATATATTAAACATGAGGCAGTGCTGAGTTGACTTGCATTGTATCATCCTGTACAGACGACTCGCTACATCTGAGGCAAGGCCTTATGCTGTATTTACAATACATATTACGGCTGAAGGAAGGTGCACTGTTTTTCTCGGGGCTTCCATGCAGCAGCTTCGTTTGGGTTTCACGATCGACAACGTGCCGATCGAAAGCATACCCCATGGGTGACAGCTCTAAACCAAGCACCCGGAGGGGAAACCTCTTGGCTGTTCGATGGGTGCTTGGGGTTGTGGTGGCTCTCGTTCGACGATGTCAGTGGGGATGCGAGCAGCCCTCCAGTTCGCTCCTACCTTATATCGGCGCAGTTCGTTTTCTGATGCAGATTAATGTCTTCGGGCTGGGTTTTCCACCTGCGCACATCGTGCGCTTGTACCTCGGACATACGTTAAATCCCAACCCTTAACCCTAAACCCCTAAACCCAAAACCCTAGCTAACCCTAAAAATGCAACCCTATTATAAATTAAACCCCAAATCCAAAAACCCAACCCATTAATTCTACAGGCACCTGAACATGTCATGATCATGCGAATTATATGAGCTACCAGTACCTAGTTTCAACCGAGCTGGATGGGCCACTATGGTTCATCGACGATGAAGCGAACAATGCTATTTGGAAATATGAAGCTTGCTTGCAAGATTCCATTGTGTAGTTTTACTTGCACTGCTGCTAGGGTACCAGTCTATTAATCCCGGAGCGCGAATTTGAGGACCTGGCTGCACCAGCTTGCCGAAGCGCAGACATTGGATCCTGCCAAACGTGCCGGCTGGAGCTCAACAGGCGTGGTGACCCGAAAGCGGCGAGCAGATGGAACGGTAGCTGTGTCACTCAACTGAACACTACTAGTAGTATACTTGAACCCTGTATTTCGATACGCCCAGGACTGGGGGGCCGCGATTGACCCAGACCGAAAGCTACCCGGCGAGGTTCTGCAGAAGGATTATGCACTTTCACAAGTGCATGAGTGTCGAAACTTGTCATGGTGCTTTTGGTTTTCGCTCTGGGTTCTCGGCCTGCCATTCAATACTGCATGCAGTACTCGATGCTAGTATTAGATCGATTTCCCAGGACATCGGCTATGTCCCGAGTTTGCCTTCGGTTGAGGACTTTCAGCTCGCCCCGGTCCCAGCCACGAATCTGCAACCCAGGAACCCCAGCTATATATCCCCAAATTTAAACCTGCCAATCCCTAAGCCGAGCCTGCAGATTCCGAACCGTCCCAGTCAGGCCCAGGCCCCTGTAGTAGCACAATTTAAATGTACTTTAAATTTCAGAATGCAACCAGGTAGATGCCTCCCTTTGGTCCCCTGCTGATCTGGTGACTCGTCCCAATTTCTAGGGAGCATTGTTATAGATAGTTAGGGTTATATCTTAGTTATATTGGAGCCTGTTACTGCTCCTGCTAAGCGGGTTTAGGGTTTCGGGGATGGGTTCTATTTATAAGCTAGGGTTTCGGGTGATAGGTTTCTGCTGATCGATGTGGCCAGGAACCCCTTGTGCAGTTCCTCAAAGCAGAGATTGAGAACGGCTCCTGGAAGCCACGATGGCCCCTGCCACTCTCGGTTCAGCCTGCAGAGTGATTGCATAGCAAGCCTAATTATCTTCTGGGCAAGTGCTCGGGTGCTACTGGGCTGGCCATGGGATTGAACAATCTTCATATAACCCTGTGTTGCTTAAGATCTAGACCGAACTGGCTGGTCCAGTCTTCCTGAGGCAATGGCCCCGAACATTTAGTTCATGATCACATTATTTTGATGGGCTTCGATTAAATGAAAGATCCCTTTGACAGGCTCTGCATTCAAGTCATGAAGCACTACACATTATTGTTTTTCGACCGATGAAAGCATTTGGCTTGAAAGCTTTTGTGCTTCCTCTGCCTGAAGCACTTAGAGGCCAGGCTTCTCAAATCTACACAGCAATCCCATGCCCCATGGAATTAAATTAACCTCAAACCCCAAACCCAATACCCTAAACCCCACCCCCTAAACCCTAAAGCCCTAAACCCTAAACCCCTCTAGATTTGAGAATTCGAAATCTCTGGAGGAACCGCGAGTGGCCTGTTCGGCTTCCACGCCATTTTGGCAGCGATCGCCTCAGTCATCCGTACTATACATTAATTTTCGGATTTAGGACAAGGTCTATGGACTCTGAGGCACAATGTTTCAGGCTCACAACCTGGATCCTATAACAATAAACAATTTGCAAGTACGATGGGGTTTAGGGTTTGGGGTTTAGGGTTTATGGTTTGGGGTGTAGGGGTTTAGGGTTCAGGGCTTAGGGTTTGGGGTTGGGGGTTTAGGGGTTTAGGGTTTATGGTTTGGGGTTTGGGGTTCAGGGGTTTAGGGGTTTAGGGTTGAGGGTTAGGGTTGGGGTTTAGGGGTTTAGGATTTAGGGTTTGGGGTTTCGAGTTTGGGGTTGATGGTCTCGGGTTTACGGTTTGGGGTATAGGGTCCAGAGAGTTTGGGGTTTAGGGTTGAGTACTCCTGCTAGTACTAGTACTAGTGCTTGTACCAGCACTAGTACTAGTACTAGTACTGGTAGTAGTAGTAGTAGTAGTAGTAGTACTACTACTACTACTACGACAGTACTACTACTATACTACTAGTACTACTACTACTGCTAGTACTACTACTACTGCTACTACTATTAGTACTAGTACTGGTATACTAGTACTACTACTAGTACCACTAGTACTAGTAGTGTTCTAATAGTACTGGTCTTGGGGTTGCGGCTTCGGGTTTTGGGTTACGCGCTGCCAGTTGCATCCGGCTCTATTTTGGAGGCTCAGCTTTAATTTTCGGGGCTGCAGGGATTCTATATGTCGGATCCGGATAGTCTAGTGCATATATATCTAATACTAATATAGCTTGGTCTCTAAATTAAACCTGAAACCCTAATCCCGAAAAAGGATAACCCTCTCGGCACTTAAGTCCCAAACCCAAAACCAAAGGCACCCTTATCGATAAACCCAAACCCGGGGCGTATACCCTAAACCCTGTATCCGAGCGTCCCGCAGGTGCCTGGAAGCCTTCTGGTGGCCCTCGGCAGCGAGCCCGGGCTCCAGGGTCTAAGATTAAAGGGTTTAGGTTTTGGGGAATTCGTTCCTAAGGCTTTTAGTCTAGGAGGGCTAGGGATTAAGTGCTAGGCCGGGGGAGAGCCAGGTTATTGCTCGTTCTCTCGCAAGTTCTGGAGATTATATAATTAGTTCTTGAATCCGGCTTTGGTTTAGCTAGGGCTTTATATATAGCCAGGGTCTAGGCCAAAATAACGATGGAAAGCTTAAGGTTGCAATTGGACTTCCACGGCTTGCAAATTGCATTGGGTCGAGCTAGTATGACTACTGTACTCTGAGGGTTTGGCTTGGTTTGGCCATTTAGGGCTGAGGGTTTTGCAGGCTTAGGGTTGAAGAGTTTTTAGGGGATAAGGCCTAGGCCAGGGGTTAATTTAATGATGGGTCCATTAGCAGTGTCTCACAGTGCGTGCTTTCGGGATAGTGCATGACCTTCGGATTGAGGAGCTAGCCGTTGGGGCATTATAGGATTAGGCTTTATTCGGGGGGCTGGCAGGTTAGGGCTTCATCCCGGCCAAGAGGCCTAGCATAGGGTTTGGGTTTAGGGGTTAGGGTTTTGCTGTCAGGGCATTGCATTGCTGAAGGACTGATAGGCTTCGGTTAACGCTAAACCCTAAACCCCTAATCCCTAAACCCTAAACCTTAACCCTAAACCCGAAAACCCTAAACCCTAAACCCCTAAGCCCTAAACCCTAAACCCTAAACCTTAACCCTAAACCCGAAAACCCTAAACCCCTAATCCCTAAACCCTATAACCCTAAACCTTATAACCCTAAACCCCTTAATCCCTTATAACCCTTAACCCTAAACCTTAACCCTAAACCCGAAAACCCTAAACCCTAAACCCTAAGTAGCAATAGGGGAGCCTTGGAGGACCTCGGACCCCGGCATTTAATAGGCTAGCTAAAAGACTGTACTGTTAACAACCGGGTGTAATCGCTAGATATTTGATCAGATCGATCAGACGGAGAGAATTCGGGCCTCA